GCAAAGGTACTCGCTCTACTCATAATCCACATCCCATTTACAATTTTCTTAGCTACCATAGATTGTCTCCTTCCTATTTTTCTTTTGTTTCTTCTGTATCCACTATTACTATTCCAAAAAATGTGAAAGAGGCACTTGATCATCCTGGATGGCGACAAACCATGATTGATGAAATGCAGGCTCTTGAGCACAATGGTACATGAAACTTAATTCCTCTTCCACATGGGAAGAAGACTGTTGGTTGTCGTTGGGTCTATGCCATTAAAGTTGGACCAAAAGGTGAAGTTGATCGACTCAAAGCTAGATTAGTAGCAAAAGGCTATACTCAGATCTATGGCCTTGACTACAGTGATACTTTTTTTCCTGTGGCCAAAATGACTACTGTTCGACTTTTCTTTGCTATGGCAGTTATCCGTCATTGGCCTCTTCATCAGTTAGATATCAAGAATGCGTTCTTGCATGGTGATCTTGAGGAGAAAATTTATATGGAGCAACCTCCTGGTTTTGTTGCTCAGGGGGAGTCTAGTTTGGTTTGTAAGTTACATCGTTCTCTCTATGGTCTCAAACAATCTCCACGTGCTTGGTTTGGAAAGTTTAGTCACATTGTTCAAAGTTTTGGATTAAAACGAAGTGAATCAGATCATTCTGTTTTTTATTATATTGCTTCAGGAAAATGTGTTTATTTAATTGTATATGTAGATGATATAGTCATTACAGGGAATGATGTTGATAAAATTTCTTTGCTAAAGAAACATTTATGCAATCACTTCCAAACTAAGGATCTTGGTTGTCTCAAATACTTTCTAGGGATTGAAGTGGCTCAATCAAAAGAAGACATCGTAGTCTCCCAAAGAAAGTATGTTTTAGATATCCTGAAAGAAACAGGCATGATTGATTGTAGACCAGTAAACAGCCCTATGGATCCAAATCAGAAATTAATGGCGGATCAAGGTGAACCGCTCTCTGATCCTGAGAGATATAGAAGACTTGTTGGGAAACTCATTTATCTCACCATTACCAGACCTGACCTATCTTTTGTCGTTGGAGTTGTGAGTCAATTTATGCAAAATCCGCGTACTGATCATTGGAATGCTGTCGATCACATCCTAAAATATCTCAAAAAAGCTCCAGGACAAGGTCTGTTGTATGAAGATAAAGGGGGTACCCAAATATCTGGGTATTGTGATGATGATTGGGCTGGATCCCCTATGGACAGACGCTCCACTACAGGATATTGTGTTCTCATTGGAGGCAATATTATTTCTTGGAAAAGTAAGAAACAAAATGTAGTGGCCCGGTCTAGTGCTGAAGTTGAATATAGAACAATGGCATCTCTCACTTGTGAACTAGTGTGGGTGAAACAATTCCTTCAAGAACTGAAATTTTGTGAGATCCAACGGATGAAGATATATTGTGACAATCAAGCAGCTTTTCACATTGCCTCTAATCCGGTGTTCCATGAAAGGACCAAACATATAGAACTTGATTGTCATTTTATTCGTGAAAAATTGTTGTCTAAAGAAATTTGTACTGAATTTGTCGGGTCCAATGATCAACTTGCAGATGTGTTGACAAAGTCTTTAAGAGGAACTCAAATTGAATTTATTTGTTCCAAGCTTGGTACATACAATTTGTATGCTCCAACTTGAGGGGAGTGTTAGAATTATTATTAGTTAGTGGTTAGTGGTTAGTAGTTAGTAGTTGGTGGTTGTTAGTAGTTGGTTGTTGTTGTTTTAAATGTTGTAATCCTATATATATATGAGATCATAGAGTGGAGTAAGTATCCCACAAAATTAGAATTTTTCTTTTCATTTTCTTTACTCTCTTAACTCTTTCAATACAAGGATCTTTCACCTACTATATCTGATATGAATCACAATTACACAAGGGGTGATTTAGGATCTTTAAGGTTAGAACCTTGTAGGAAATTTAGTAATTTAGTGATAAGGTGAAAGGAAAGAATCACTCTTTCAAAGGAAGACAACACACAAAGGATGTGAAAGTCCTTTGATACAACAAAATATTCTTGAATCACTCAAGAACTTAGGAGAATCACTCTCACTAAGATAAAATAGATAAACTCTAATATTTCTAAAAAAAACTCAACTTGTTATTTATGATAAAAATGGTTCAGCTTATAAAGAAGTTTTGTCATCAGAGTTACAAATATTCATTAAAGGAAAATAAATACTAATAATGATTTATTAACCTAGGAATTGAAAACTACTTCATGATTTATTGTAACTGAAACTGTGACATCCAAAAGTCAATCAGTTATGCACCCTCTTGGTCTCCCAAAGACTGATAACTAAATTTTCAATTGGACCCTTATTACAACTTGCAATAAAATCAAACTAAAGTCCATTAATTGATTAATCCAAAACACAATTTGGTCAACCAACAATACTTGTTGAAGAGCTTTCTTTATTTTCCTTACTCTAACCCTTATCATAGGTCATGTTCACATCAATATCACCGGATAAACTATCGGCTCTGATACCACTATTGAGTCTTTCGAAGGGGCTAACAATAGAGAGATTCTCACAAATGGGATACAAACAAACTATATAAGAGAATATGACATCACATTCAATAAAAAACCTAAAGACATTAGGTTATGAGTCTTTCTCACTTATAAGTTACCCAACTTTCTCACTTTTACTCAATATGGGACTTTAAATTCACACTTAAATTCTCAACAATCTCTCCCTCAAGTGTGATTTTCTTTCATATTGGTACACCTCCCCCTTTAGCAGAATCTTTAATAGTGAGATTACTTGTACTATCATTCAACTCAACGAAACTCTTTTGCTTGAAACCCTTCTCAAAAATACTTTCAGATACAGATACTTTTTACCTACTAATATTATACTTGAATGCTCCGCCAAGTACTCCATCCTTTTCGTCTGCTTCCTCTCTTGCGCACCTCTTAGTTCTCGGTCTTCTTACTTTGAGGTAAGTATGACTTACTATTTCCTCTTTTCTTCATCTAACTCTACGAAGTCTTCGGGTGGCTCATTGGTGTGGGTATAGGGTGCTGATCGATCATTTGAAGGGGGATAGTGTGGAGAATGTCTCTTTTGATAAAGCGACTGAAGACCTAATTGTTATCGAGGGGCGTCAATCTCCTAGCAATGCAGTAGAGGATACCGACACCAATGGGGTTATCGATGACTTATCGAAGCGTGTGGATTACAAGTGGGTGGACCATTATGTTCACAGTTATTTCTCCAAATACCATTGGTCGAGTGTAACAACCATAAGGCTAAGAGGGGAACCATCCCTCAAAAGCTAGCTCAAGAGGTTGGAGAACCTCCTACCTTATAAGGCCTCCCTGGTAAGGAGACCTCCCCAATGTGGGACTTGTTACAATACCACCCCGTTCGAAAGCCAGCGTCCTCGATGGCTGCACTCCACGACACTTCACTCACCGGCACTTCACTCACTAGCACTTTACTCGGCCTTCTTACCGGTCAGAACCCTCCAGTGGTCAGAACCCTCCGGCGGTCAGCCCTTCTCGAGTTGGCTGGCTCTCAACGAAAGCACCATTGTAACAACCATAAGGCTAAGAGGGGAACCATCCCTCAAAAGTTAGCTCAAGAGGTTGGAGAACCTCCTACCTTATAAGGCCTCCCTGGTAAGGAGACCTCCCCAATGTGGGACTTGTTACATCGAGCTTGTCGAAGTTGTACATTAAATATCAAGATTTGTTGTCGGATGGTGTCCCAGATATTATGGTTACCTTTAGCCCTATGGTGTCATGGACAATATTTGTCATGGGCGTGAGGGTTCCGCTGAGTACTTCTACATGTATTCCTACCTATTTTCGAATATACATGTTCGTTTTCCTTTTGATGAGTTCACCATAGGTGTTCTTCGCATCATGAACGTTATACCGACTCAACTACATCCGAATAGTTGTGCGACCTTAAAAGCATTTCACATCTTGTGCGAGACATTGTGTTTGCAACCAACGTCTTAAGTTTTCCTTTCTCACTTTAGTACACGGTCTTCTTCCAGTGAGTTGGTTATCCTTGATCGACCATCTGGCCTCCGCCTTCTTCTTGCCCTACATGTCCTCTTATAAAAATTTAAAAAGTAGTTTTTTCAAGGTGGTCATCTGACCTTCCGGTCGTGATTTTTTTTCCGATGGTGACTAACTTACGTTTCCATTTTATTGGACCCGCAACCCCCTTTGCTTCAAAAATTAGCCTGGCTTCGAGATGTCGCGCAGAAGATGTCTGAATATTGGGAATATTCATCTAAGGAATATTCATCTAATTATCCCGTCGCTTGCCCATTCGAAAGCTTCTTAGAGTCTATTTATCTTTACATAGTCTTTTCAACCTTGATGTTATGCATTATGCTTTTTGGATTAGTTGTCATTCACTTGTTTTATTTTTTTTACTGAATATGCATTCTTTGTGTTAATTATATTTTTACAAAGTCGAACACAAACTTATTTTTTTAAAATAAATAGTAATCCATTTGAACATTTCGTACTCGACTTTTAACTCTTTCGTATTCGATATTCCTGATGGAAGTGTGAAAATCAAGAGTGGAAGTACCTATAAAAATTTGTGATGGGAGTGTGAAAATCAAAAGTAGAAACACCTACAAAAATATTTCAACGTTTAAGTCCATAATAACCGTGATTAGTAATTTATAATTGAATTAACTTAAAAATTACCATGCTTTCTTAGTGCTTTATAACACTTATCTAACTAACTTATAGATAAAATTCAAGATTTTCCAAGGTGGAGATACGGTGAGAGTAAATTTTGTCTTCAACAAATGTTTAATTTGATAACAAGTTCATTTTAAAAACATTGATTTGATCTAATAATTGAACCTGACAAGTGTTTCAAAACGGTTCGGTTTATTAAGCGGACCATGGCCTATCTGGGTGGACACGTGGCTCAAATTCCGAAGAAGTAATAAGGGACTGTTTGGATGGATGATAATTGCAGTGAAACTGAAGAGGGGAAGACGAGAGTGAAATGGGGGAACTTTACGCGTTGGACTTCGATGGAATCATCTGTGATAGCTGCGGCGAGAGCTCTGTCTCTGCTGTCAAGGTTGGTTTCTCTCTTCATTCCACCCAAAACAATTTTTGTTTTTTATTTTAAATCTTTTCAATTTTTAATACTTGTTTTTTCTTTCAATGGTTTTGTCCTCTGTGAATTCATAAGGATGACATTCCAACTCATCATGATTTATATCCTGTTTGTCAATTTGCAGGCCGCCAAAGTGAGATGGCCTGGTTTGTTTGATGGGGTGGATTCAGTTACAGAAGATTGGATTATTGACCAGATGCACACAGTATAATAATTTGATTTGACTTAGTTTCAGTTGCTATGGATTTCATGCAATCTTCTTTGGTTTGGGTATGTTGGTGGTATAGTAATTTGATTTAAAATGAATAGTAAATAGCGGAGGCAGGACAGGAAGGGAGCAGAAAAAGGCTTGAATTTGCATGTAGTTGGACTTTAGTTAATGAATTTTAGAGGGCATTTGATTTTGAATTCTGGATTTGTACTTTAGAGGGTTTTGATTTTTAATGAAGTGTTGAATATCTGTCAAGTTCTAATTATGTAATGAGACTTTGCGCGGGTAAAATTATGAAGAAGAAAAGAAGAAGCTAAAAGAAATTAAACTTCTTTCGTTTAGGCCATGTATAAGTTAAATGAGAGAAAACTAATGTACTCGATGCCTAAGGCCTCCCCAATGTGAGGGTATGGGGGAAGGTCATTGTACACGGTCTTATCCTTGCTTATGCAAAGAGACTGTTTCCGAATCAAATCCATGACCAACCAGTTTTCAAGACACAACTTTATAGACTATATGTATATATTTCCATGGTTATGTAATAAGGCAATTTGGAATCCTGGAAATATATTTTATAGTGTATAAACATGCAAAGGGAAACTTGACAAAAAGACCAGGAATACATTATATTTTGACAACTAAATGTATACGTTAAATAGAATTTTTCTTTTTCATTCCTCTGTACTATGTATACAGGGAATAATAGGGAAAAACTTTTTGCATTTTTTGTTTCGGCTACTACTATTGTTTCTTACATTCCATTTAACTATCCTGTATTGAGTGCAATAGATTATATTTCCTTGATTGCTTCAATCATTGATTTTCATTGCTGATCTTTAAAGTATTTGATGCCATGATATCTTTTTACGAGTTTTTTTAATTTAAGACTATATCCTTACGGAAGCATGTTGGACTTGTTTTCAGTTTAAAGATGAACTTCCATTTTTTTTTGTGTCAGGTGCGACCAGTAGTGGAAACTGGATATGAAAACCTTTTACTTGTGAGACTGTTGCTTGAGAGCAGAACGCCTTCTATCCGAAAGTCTTCGGTGGGTAAAAATGCTTATGGATATGCTTTTTCTCATTTGTTATTTCTTATTAGCAATTGAAAACCATGTTCCTGAAATTAGTCATCAGTGAAGTCAGAGGATATTTCACACCAATGACGTGATATGTCACTGGAACTAGGTTTATTATTTAGGATGATGCCAGTGGCCTTGAATCTGCAACTGCTTTCAAATGGACTCTGGACCTGTTGACTGATGTCATAGTTCTTGTGCAAGGTTGCAGAGGGGCTCACAATTGAAGCTATATTGGAGAATTGGTCCAAGTTGAAGCCTATTATTATGGAAGAGTGGGGTGAGAATAGGGATGCTCTGGTAGATCTTTTTGGAAAGGTCAGAGATGAATGGTTGGAGCAGGATTTTGCTGCTTGGATTGGTGCAAACAGGTAGCCAAATCAAACCTCCTGACAGTGGATTAACTTTTGATACTTACATCGATCCAGATGCATGATGAGAGAACTAAGCATTAGGAAGAGATGGCTGAAGAACGAGGGCATTAACATTCAAATTATAAGAAAGGAAATGCTAGCAATACAGTACTCTCCAGCTTATTTTGTCAAACACACTCTTTACTGTTGGCTTAAATTTATCGAGACTCATGAAATGATGCAATTATGGTTCCTTGTTTAATTAGTTTCACTCATATTTTCTGTGATTTCCAATAAAAATTTTAGCTAATAGTAAAGTGCGTATTGAATAAATTTAGTGTATGTGTTGCTAACACTCCTCTTTATATAAATTGCCAGTTGAATAATGTTGAACATGCTATCCTTAGCCAACTACTTGACTGACTGAAAATGGATTGTAATGGACAGAAGGTTGGAGAAGTAGGAAATATGTGTCATTTTTTGTAAACAAATTTTTCTTTCTGTTCAAGGAAGTCCCTTTGGTGAAGGAATCAGTTTGTGTAGGCTTTGAATTCTGGTTATCCTTTGGATTAGACAATGTTGTTGCATTAAGCATGTTGGGATATTGCTGTATTCCTGTTGACTGAATATTTTCTTCTAATAAATAATCTTATGCAGTGGTATATTTCTTCTTCCTCTTCTTCTTTTTTCTATTTTTTGCATGTGTCATGAATGATGAAATTTCCTATTAATAATTGACAATGCTTTGTCTTCAGAATATATCCCGGTGTATCTGATGCCTTAAAATTTGCAAGCTCGAGAGTGTACATTGTCACTACAAAACAGGTAAACTTTTTTACCCTTGACCAAGCAAGGCAACAATAATCCTAACAATAACAATAGACTATTTTACTTTCAATATTAAGCAAAATAAGTGGGGACAAAGATAACGAGCCAGTGTCCCAATAACATGAAAGTACATCTTATTTATTTTTTACGCCTATTTCTATACATTCAGAGCCGTTTTGCTGATGCTTTACTCCGAGAGCTTGCCGGAGTGACCATACCACCGGAAAGAATATATGGCCTTGGAACTGGGTTAGTATATTTTACCAAAGTAATGCTGCAAAATATTTACATTTTTCATGTTGTCTCTCTTCTTTTCTTGCTATATTTTGATGAGATATTCTTTTTACTGGATTATCTTTAACTTCACCTACAGTCCTAAGGTAGAAGTTCTGAAGCAGCTTCAGAAAAAGCCAGAGCACCAAGGACTGACACTACAGTAAGATATTGTGCTTTAGCTCCAAATAATGACATTTCGGTTATGGCTATTATGTATAGAACTTTTGTCTTGCATCAAAAGATGGTTCAAAATTAACACCAGTTAATCTGAACAACCAGCTTTGTTGAAGATCGTCTAGCTACCTTAAAAAATGTCATCAAAGAGCCTGAGTTAGACCAATGGAACTTGTATCTAGGTAGTTCTCTCTACCTGACTATGATTTCTGCACCCTCCCTCACCATGTCTCAGTTCCCATGTTGTGCATCATTGCGTTTGTTTAGTGTACTTGATAAGCTCGATTGTTTGGATCAGGGAATTGGGGTTACAACACCCAAAAAGAAAGAGAGGAAGCTGCAGCTATCCCCAGAATTCATGTTCTTGAGCTCTCTGACTTCAGCAAGAAGTTGAAATAGGAGTTTTCAAAGAATTGTCAGCTGTCAATAATTGAACCAAATATTGTTCTTCCAATTCATGTATAAACAACAACAAATTTCTAGTGAAAACAATCTTTCTGCTCAGACTTTCCTTTTTCTTTTTATCTTGTTAAACTGCAGTAATTCAGTGGAGATTTTTGCTGTCTTTACTGGTCCTACGTAGCACGAATCTGATGAGGGTAGGTCAAACTAACAAGTTACAGTAATTTTTACCATCTTAGAGGAAGTTAAAATTGTTTGAAATTGCCAGATTTAAGCTGAACATTTTTTTTGGGGCGAAATAATTGTTATTGGAGAGAAATATATATATATATATATATATATATATATATATATATATATTTTTTTTTTATTGTTATTATAGTTGTTACTGAATAAAAAGAATATTAATTATTTTTTTTATTTTATTTAGGTGTTCTGCTTTAAGTCTGTCAGATAAAGAGGAACGAGTTTGGTATTATTTAATGCAATAATACGCGGATAAATTAGGGAGATTTTTCCAGCATTGCATGTTGCATATTCCATCCAGAAGTGTGGCTTTTCCTTATCCGAAGGTGTAGTTTTAACCACAAATGTTTCCCTCTTGTAGTGTGCTAATATGCTTTTGTGCATATTAGAAATGCATGTTGTTATTTGTATTACAACAGCTTGGGCATTACTGATAAAAATCATATCCACAGCAGGGTTCCATATGTTCATCTGAAACTTATTCAAATGCCAACAAAATCATCCTTCAAATATCCAGCCTTATTTAAAAATTAACTTTCAATTTACATGCCAACGGTCCAATTTAATTTTAGCACTTAGTTGAATCATGTCCAACTTAGAAACCAATGCAAATCAAATCATCATAGCATGTTTCAATACTTTTTATGGCTTTGAAGTTCTTATATTTTTAAACAAGCATCTTTTTTAAGTTCTTACATTACAACATAATTGTTGATTTATTATTTAACAAAATCTCATAATTTAGTAATTAATTTAATATTCAATTTCTTTCTCAATTCTTCGAACTTTTAATCAAAGGTTTCATTATAATGTCCGCTAGCTGTTCTTTCGTCCCACATTATTCAAGTCTCAAGTTATTCTTTCTTACTTCATCTCTGATGAAGTGAAATCTCAATCTAATATATTTGTTTTTCCCATAATGAATTAAATTTTTCGCTAAATTAATGACTGACTTATTATCAATCTTCAGTGTCATAATCCTCTATGATTATCCAAGGACTTGATTCACTAAACTCTCGATCTACAGTATTTGACAAGTTATGTAAGCATTAACCATGTATTCAACCTCACAAGAGGCGAGTGTCACAACAGGTTGTAGCTTCAAGCACCATGAGATCGAGGATTCTCCCAATAAGAATAATTAACCTGATATGTTTATGAAACCAACTTTATCTTCAGCCTAGTCACAATCAGAATAACTAACCAACTCTTCTTCATTTTGATATGTAGCATTTGATAATAAAATACCAATATCAATCGTCTCATTAATATACCTCAAAACTCTCTTAGTAGGGGTGTCAATATGGGTTCTAACCCGTGAGCCAACCCAGCTCACCACGGGTTCGAGCCGGGTTGGGTTGGATTTTTTTATTTCTACCGATTATGGGCTAAAAATGAACCCGGCTCACTTAACCCACGGGTTAAACGGGTTCGAGCCGGGTTATGGTGGGTTGGCCTGCAACCCACCATTAATTTTAAATTTTAAAAATAATTATAATATATATTAACCTTAATTAATAATTATATTTTAAATTTTAAAAACAATTATAATACTTCGATAACCCTAAATGTTATCCTGCCTCATCTCTATCCTATATTGTCATTGCCGCCACAACAAGTCAAACCCTATCGGCAACACTACGTTTGTCGCTGCACTATCTTATCATATGTTCATCTTCATCGTATCACTACATCACCGTACCCACTGTAGCATCTATACATTATTTGTTGTTTATTATTGATTTATACGTATATCTCTTTAATATATGAATTTTTGACTTCTTTCTTTCAAATTAATTTACGAGTATGGAATCGAAACAATGCATCAAAGTGTCAATGTGAATTGTGTTGGTGATGATTTTATTGTTAATGAAAAACCCAATGAGCCAATTTCAGTTAATAATGAAGATACTGATGTTGAGAAAAAAGGAAAAAAACAAAAGTTTCTACATCCGAAGTTTGGAAATATATATATATATATATATATATATATATATATATATTATATTTATATTATTTAAAAATAATATGGGTTAGTGAGTCAACCCACCTAACCCACCAACCCGTGGTGGGTTGAGCCGGGTTGTAAAATTTCTGGCTCACCAAAAAGTGAGCCGGGTTGAGCTCATCTATTTTCAGCTCAACCCGTGGTGAGCCAACCCGTGTGAGCCGGGTTGGCTCACTTTGACACCCCTATCTCTTAGTGGCTGCAAAATGTGATGCCTTGGGTTTCTTCATAAATCTACTTAGCAACCCAACATTAAAGCAAATATCTGGCATACTACAATACAAATATCTTAAGCAGGAATCATCTGTCTATAAACAATAGCATTTACAGACTTCTCATCTTCATCTTTGTCAAGTTTCACATTTGACTCGACTGATGTAATTATTGCACTACACTCACTAATTCTAAACTTCTTGAATACTTTTTTAGCATATTTAATTTGGTGAATCAAAACACCTTTATTGTCTTCGATGAATTCCATTTTCAAAAAATATGACAGCTTCCTTAGATCGGTCATCTAAAACTGATATTGTATCCTCTTTTCAAAATTATCGATCGAAGTAATTTGATTGTCTATAATCAACAAATCATCGACATATAAACAAACAATTAACACATTATCTCTTTCGATCTTCAAGTAAATCTTATACTCGACTTCACACTTCAAGAATTCTTGTTGTCGAAGACAACCATCAATTTTAGTATTCTAGGCTTTTGGGGCCCGTTTCAAGCCATACAACATCTTCTATCTAAGAACCTTCCGTTCATCTCCAATAATCACAAACCCTTGTATTTGTGTAACAAAAAGTTCTTCCTTCAATTCACCATTCAAAAATATAGATTTTACATTCATTTAATGCATCTACCACCCTTTATAACTAGCAAGAGTTACAATTGTTCTTATCGTTTCCATCCTAGCAACAGGTGCATATACTTCTTTGTAGTATAAACCTTCTCTTTATGTAGAAAGTTTTCCGTCACAAGTCTGGTTTTATATCTTGTAATTGTTTCGTCCAGTTTTAACTTCGTCTTGTACACCCATTTTACTTTAATTGACCTTTGATTATCTGGGAGATCAATTAATTCCCATGTTTTATTTTTTTTCGATTGTAAAAAAATCTTCTTTCATGACTTCGATCCACTTGGGATCCTCGATCGCTTCTTCAAAGTAAACTGATTCAAGCTCGACATCAGCATACAATGCTAGGTGTACAAGATGATTCTCGTCCATCATTCCTCTAATCATTTGTTCAGTTGCTATGACGGTATCATCAGTATTGATCATCATTCCTCTAATCATCTGTTTAGTTGCTATGACGGTATCATCAGTATTGATCATGTTAGGTACCAGAAGGAAAAAGAACACCTGCAAACAAAACTCAACCAGCGGAAGCACACACCCACAACAAACAATTAAAAGCACACAAAATATTTTTACGTGGTTCAGCACCTCAAAACCTACATCCATGAACACACTCAACAATATTTTATTACTCAACGTGCAATTTTTATAACCAGAAAATTGCAAACCCTCACATACAATTTTTGCCCGAAAAAACTGTAAACTCTCTCTGACTCACAACTCACTCTAGCCCCTTATACATAAAGGAAACTCTTTTAAATTGTGGTGTCTAATACTCACCTTAATCCCTTATTTTTATAGTGGTCTCCTTCAACTCCCTTCTTCAAACTACCCAATATGGAACTTTGGAGGATACCCACATACTGGCACAACATATCCCCCTTCATCCAAAGTCTCTCACATTAATTCATCATCATGACAACATAAACAATGTACTATTTTTCAATGACATACTATTTCTCTTCCTTTTTGGACAAAACCTAGCATTGCACTGCTCTGACCCACGCACTGCTTCTCTTTCTCCCTGACACACTATTTCTCTTCCCCCCTAGGACAAAACCTTAATTCTTTTCTGATGTGGAAGATCAGATAATACTGCAACCACAGAGCATACTAAGAATTAAGAATCTCACATAGTTCACCACACCAACAACTCTGATACCACTGTTGGGTACCAGAAGGGAAAAGAACACCTGCAAATAAAACTCAACCAACGGAAGCACGCACCCACAACAAATAATTAAAATCACACAAAATATTTTAACGTGGTTCAACTCCTCAAGGCCTACATCCACGAGCACACTCAACAATATTTTATTACTCAATGTGCAATTTTTAGGACTGAAAAATTGCAAACCCTCACATACAAATTTTGTCCGAAAAAACGGTAAACCCTCTTTGACTCATAACTCACTCTAGCCCCTTATACCCAAAGGAAACTCTTTTAAATTGTGGTGTCTAATACCTCAATCCCTTATTTTTATAGTGGTTTCCTTCCACACCAGGAACAGATACAAAGGGGGGCAAGCATGGGCCCCGACCCCTCCCTCTTTCAAAATTTATATATATATATATATATATATATATATATATATATATATATATATATATTATATTTTTATTTATATATTATAAAAAATTATATTAGAATTAGTAAAAAAAGAAAAAAAAATCTTAGATCTACCTCAAAAGTTCGGTGTAACTTCTGGTGTGTCAGTTTATATATTATAATATAATAAAATTATTATATTATATAATATTATAAATGAAAAAGTTAAAGAAACTTATCTAAGAAGTTAACCCTTTAGCTTCTATCGTAACTCGTAAGCTAACAGTAGTTCTATATTTTTTTACTTTTCATTTCCAAGTTCCAACCATTCTTCTCTATAGGTGTGTTTGGTTTCATGTTTGAAGGTTATAGATCTACGTTTACTTGAACGATGAAGTTGTAACTTCGCGTTGGACCTACCTGCATAAGGATTTCAATGTGTTTCCAAACACACATTAAACTAGTGTGTAATTCTCGTTTGAATTCTCAAAAGTTTCAAAACTACAAAAATTGGTGAAACAAAAGTACATCGTTATCGTAAGTTCTATTAAGTATTTTGCAAGTATTTTTCTTATTTTTCTTCATCAATTTAAAAAAATAAATTTAAAACTTTACTGCTAAAAATATTAATATTTTTTCTTTAATATGGACTCTTTTAGGATCAGCATCAATTCAAAAAAGAATAAAAATAATAGTGCAAAATTGAAACTTGGAAGCAAAGGTTGGAGATTCTTGAAGACAAAAGGTCACAAATTAGTGGTAAGATAAAATAAAATTTTTCATTTAGTTATAGTTTGATAAATAAATTTGAAATTAATATTATTATATGATTTGTCTCGTACATTTTTTTAATTTTATTGTTATCACAAGGTTTTAGAATTTTATTCGACTATAATTATGTGATTATGTTAATTTTAATTTTTGTTATCAATAACATTTTAGGGTGATAATATAGAGATTTGATAGTATCATGGGAAAATCATGTACAATTGATACATATTTTAAAAGAAAAACTAATGAAACTCTTCAAATTAGTAGTTCATTAACTCCTCCATCAAGCACACAAGTTAATAACTCATCAATTCCTCCTTCAAGCACACAAATAGTTGTCATTGAACAACATCAATCTAAAGTTCCTAGAGTAGAAGTTGATATCTCTTTACTTGAGAAAGATTCGGGAAAACGACTTTCTATTTGACCATATCCTGTTGACCAACATGACAAAATTCGTAGAGCTTATATAAAAGCATGGTCATATCAACCTACAAATATAAGATTTCCAGCTTCTAGTATTAGAAATCAACCTGCTGAGAAGTTTGATACAAATTTTATTATTTATGAATTTTATGATATGAAAGAAAGACGTGCACAACTTAAATAAAATGTATGATATGTTTAACTTTTATTTAATATTTATTATCAAAGTTTACATTTTTTTTGTCCTCAGTTTAAACTATTTCTGGATTCGTCCCTGTTCCACTCCCTTCTTCAAACTACCTAATGTGGAGGATACCCACACACTGGGATAACAGATCACATAATCATTGAGTCTTGCTAGTATCTCAATCTATCTAATTGGTCGATTTCTCCTCTCTTCGATTGATCTGCCTTCGATTTATGTATCACTTGAGTCATCGAAGCTAACATTTCTATTTTTCACCATTGAACACCATTTCTAGCAATCTTTCTCATCTATAACAATATCTCTACTGATGATGATCTTTTTCTTGATAGGATCATACAATTTATACACACCAGTTGCATGATATCCTACCAAAATCAACTTATGGCTTCTATCTTCGAGCTTATTCCTCATCTCATCTAGAACATGCCTCCAAGCAATCGAGCCAAATATTCTCAAGTATTTTATGTTTGGCTTTCTCCCAAACCATACTCTCTGGTATTTTCTCCTTCACTTTTTTTATTGGACATCGATTTAAAATGTGTATGGATGTCGATAGCGCTTCTGCCCAAAACGAATGTGGCAAGCTTTGGTATTCAACACACTTCTTACCATATTTAAAATTGTTCGATTTCTTCTTTTCGTAACTTCATTGTGTTGTGGTGTGTATGAGGTACAATCTCATATAAAATATCATTCTTCTTGCAAAATGATGCAACTCACCATTGTTGTATTCCTCATCATCTGATCTCAAAACTTTAATAACTAAACCACATTATTTCTCAACTATCGATTTAAAATCAATGAAACGAATAAACATCATCGACTTCTTCTCAAGCAAGTACACCCACATCATCTTGCTATAGTCATTGATAAATGTAACGAAATACTGTTACCACCTAGTGAAGGAACATCGAAGAGTTCACATACATCGATGTAGATACTTGCAATACATTCTTGCTTCTGATCTCGATACGCACCTTAAATGGATTTTTAACTTGTTTACCTATCATGCATCCTTCACATAAGTCTTTACATTTTTGAACTCGAGACAATCCAATCATCATCTCCTTTTCTGCAAGTTGGCTCAAACTATCAAAAAGATGATCATACATTAAATGTCACAACCAATTAATATCAGAGACTGCTGTTACAAAATACAAGTTATTCGATACTGAAATATCACTATTCTTACTTAGAGGTGCCTTCAAAATTGGTGTCTCATTCTTATCGAGGATTCTCAACATTTGCTCTCTCGATTTCCAATCAATCAAATACATTTTCTGATGTAGTTGTCTGATACTCACCAGATTGTGCTTTATGGCTGGAACATAAAGTATATCCGAAATTATTATAGATTTTTCATCTCTTCTTTTGATCATTATTCTACCTTTCCCTTCACAGCTCATTATCGAATAATCTGCAAGTTTTACCTTCAATCTAACACTCATTAAGATTAACGAACCAACTCTTCTGACATGACATGTGATTCGAACAACCAATATCCAAATACTAAGATTCACCAAAAATCTCCACTGATTTCATTGAGATTACCATTAATAACACTTCATCCTCCTAGTTTTTCTTTTGTGCAACATTCACTTCTTCTTCCTTGCTCTAACAATTAGCAGCATAATGGTCATACTTATAACAATTGTAACATTGTACAGTTGCTCCAATATTCGTTTTTTTTTTCTTTTTCCCAAATCTTAAAGCTCTTGATATCACTGTTATCATAAAGGGGTCTAAAAACAAGTATCGAGAGAGTATCAAGAGAAAGAGGTACACTAAATGTAATTATATTCAATGTATGAACTAAATTATACAATCCCACTATTGAAATACTACGAAGGCACAATGTTTAAGCAGTCATTGAGGTTTATTAATCTAACTAACCTAATTGAAACTAACACTACAACATCATTGCTTAATTATTATCTAACACCACACACACTAAAATAATTCAAACTTCATACAATTTGACTACTTAGTTCATATTCAAAAAAATTTAGATTGGTTATAAAGAATAATAATACATGTTTAAACATAAAAATGATAACATTAACATTATTAATAGATAAGTAGAAAATAGAGGAAAAATTGGTAGATTGACACGTGTCTGATTTCAATGATAGTTGGTTTCCTAGAATGCAATCATGCATACCATGCGGTATATAATAATCTACGAATATGTTTAACAATGTTGATCTATATGCTTTGGACTTTGATGAAGTTATTTGTGATAGTTATAGGGGAGACAACTATCTCTGCTCTCAAAATTCATGTTCTCTCACCCTCTATCTTAAAAAAGAAGAAAATCATAGAAAATACTTAAAGTTTTTGATGATCACTTATAGTCTACTAATGGTTTTTGTCACAAAACTAAGTTATTATGATTACTTTGTTGGTAGTTTGTAGGCTGTCAAATTGAGATGGCTTCCCTTGTTTGATGGTGTAAATTCAACCATAGAAGATTGAATTGTTGATCAGATGATTATAGTAATAATTTATGACTGGTTTTTCTTTAATTATTCCTTTTTTTCTTCTTGAATTTTGAGAATGTATGGGTAAATTGTGTAATCGTGTACTTATCATAATCTCTTATAAAAATGATAATTTCTTCATAAGTTTGATTGTAAAGTTTATAAGTTTAAAAGAACTAGTAGAAAGCTCACATACCACTTCTTTAAGTTTAGATAAACTATTTTAAATACAAATCTTAACTATAGGTAGGAAGGACTTGTAAAAAAAAAAAAAAAAAAAATTACCGAGGAAAACTATTAACATTCTTATTTATTCATGAATTTTTCTAAGTTATTAATTTCCCATAATGAGGTTAACTCCAAACATGACAACTCCAACCCAAACATCATTAATTGTAATACTCTTAAAGGATCGGTTGTAGACATAAAATAAGATCTGCTCCCTTTTCATAATAACTAAAAAGATTGATTTCGTATAGACATGATTACATACCATCTTAAGATTTTTAGCTTTGTGACTATCACTTGCTTTTAGGATAAGAATTATATTACTTCAATTAAATTTGCAATTCTTCCAAAAGTTCTAATAGTATTGCTAAATGCATGAAAGGTGATTATTACTTCACAAGCATTGAAAGACAGTTTATCACCTTAATTAAAAGAGAAGGAAGAAAAAAATTTAAGGACTACAGAATTATCAAGACTAGTAAATCCTTGAAAATGAGCAAAACAATTGCTTTATTTCAACTTTTATAGTCACTACCCGAATGTTACAACTCGATCAATTTCCTCTCCTCAGCATTATTTGCTTTGGCTTTATAGAGATATATGTCTGTACCACTTGTTACAACTCTGTTTTAACACTTCCATCAATTTCCTCTGTATCAACATTGTCTGCTTTGGCCTTATCTCTATTGAGCTTTTCAATAACTTCATCAAGAGGTGGATCTCCAGGTCTTCTAAAAAATTGATCCCCCATTTTAATCTCATAAGCCTCTGATTGGTCCAAGACGAATTCCTTCAACTGATAATATGATAGGAGTATGAGAACATATCAACAGAAAGTATATAAGGGTATACAGAACTTATTATTTCAGGATGAATCCAAAACTAGTTATTCAATACCAGAGACAAAAGGTAAAGTTCATTGGTTAACTTCAGCATAGTTTACTTCAAATTGGACAGGGAGGTTAAGAATATAACAGCAGATTGTGGGTTGTTGCCAAAATTAAAAAGTCAGGCCGATTCTTCTAATTTTCATTCTTTATATTTAAAAGAATTAAAACAGAAAAGTAAAGGCTAGCCATACCTCCTCCAAGTCTTTGATGTTTTCCAAGTTGAACATGATTGTATGCAGATCAACACCCATAAACCTTACTCCAACAGCTCCAGTTCTCAGAACTTGTGTCCATTTCATGGCAAATTCAGCTACCATGTCCTATAAAAATCATGAAAAATGGTTACGGTACTCCATATTCACACAAAAGTTTAAAGTATAAACCTTTCTACATCATCAAACAAATATTGAACATCAAATACAGATCAAATTAACAAGATCCTCTCAAACTGCTAATCTTTTATCATATAACAGCATATCATAAAACAAAGTTCCATTATATACATGTTCAATATAAAATATTTTTCAGTAAAGATTCAACAAGTTTTGATCACTTTATCATGTCTAACTATTCATGTGATAATAAAATAAATTTCTATTGGATGTCTGCATAAACTATTTTGACAAGTTTTACTTTGAGAAGTTGACTAACACGCCCTCCTCCTTTACCCGAACTTGAGACCGGCTATGATACCAAAAGTGAAGTTAAATTCTAGCTCAACTAAATAAACAAACTCCCACCAAAAATTCATTAACCACCATGTTGATATTCATCACAACCAAAAATCCATTAACCACCACTAATTCAATTCAAAACTTCCATTTATTATACTTGTTTAAGAAAGTTTGATTACTCTATTATTGGTTACAAAAAATTTCAATTTTAGTCTTTATACATAAAATAATTTTCTCTGATTCTCTACTAGTATCAATTTAATCTCCTTTTAGTCCCTTAATATATCATTTTAACTCTTTTAGTTCCTAAGGATTAAAAATGTCATGGGTAATAAAGAGAATTTTTTTAGGAAATGGATAAAGTACAGGGGCTTCAAATGGAAGATTTTTGAACTTAGAGAAACTACAAGAATGATTAGAGTTGTAAAAAAGACACCGACTGGGTATGAGAAAAATCACTACTTCAACTCAAAATCATTATGCCACAATAAAAGGTATCAGCAAAATTACAAAAGATCACAAATTTAACCCAAATTCGAAAACAAACAGCCGCAATCAAATTGGCGCACAAGCTAATCATCACAAAAAAAAACCAACATTCTCACCGGAGTCCGGTGAGCCCCAACCCGGAGCTTGACGAATCCGATGGCGGGTCCGACGTGACGCTTCATCATCTCCTCCTGGATCTGCGAGGGATCCATCTTGGAAAAATCAGAGGGGGGGAAAGAGGGTCCAGGTTTCTTGCCCCATTCCTTCCACGCATCGTCCTCCTCGTCATCGAACACATCGTCCAAGTCGTCGGTGATGTGGACCTTGCGCTTTCCAGCGAGGGCTAAGTGGGAAATTGCGGATGCAAGGAGGAGAAAGAGAAGGAGACTGGGAAGAGGTTTGAAGGTCATGAGGAAGATGATGAAATGAAGAAAGTGATCTCACTGTGAAAGAACTGGAAGGAAGCTAATTGGAGAAGAATGTGGTGTGGTGTGAGTAACTGTTGTGAATGAAATGAGACGATGAGTTAGGATTTGAGTTGGTGATTTTGTTGCTTTATCTTTGCATGGGCTAACTGGCATATATCATGATTTAAGAAAGATGGTGAGTGGTAAGAAGAGATTAATAAATTTGATACTAATGACATATATGAGATTGGAACAAATATATTCAAAAATAAAAAATAAACAAGCCGAAATTTGAGAAAACCTAAAAGTTTTTTTTGGATTGGAACAAATATTTTAATTTGATTTCTTATCAAAAAGAAAAGTATACTTAATTTTGATTTTGAAACTGATAAACCCAACTTTATCCAATGTCTCTTTTGTGTAAACCTAGGCATTTCCAACTAATTGAAAATTATTCCTTCCAGTTAACATGAAAAAAAGACTAATATCTCAAAATACTGAGATTTACTTAAATGTTTGACATTTTGAGAAATATTTTTCTATTAAAGGTTGAAGATGTGAACTCTCAAATCTCTGACTACTTAGTGTCTAGTAGAATATCTAAGTTTAAGATAGAATATTGAGTGTCTAATTGAGAGGTGTGTTATTTTTCAAGTTTTATAGTCTAATTTATAATACAAGAGTAAGTCTAGTAATGGTGTAAAGGTATTCATATTGCTATTTAAATATAAATTATTATAGATTACTTTTTATAATAATAATTATTTTAAAAGCATACTTTAGAACAATTTCTAATTGATTAAAAGTATAAAGTACATGCAATAAAAATTAAAGTCTTTTATTTGAATGAAAAAAATTTTAACATTGCAATTAATTGTAGATTAATGATAAAACCAACTTAGAATGGAAGTGTCTTATCAGTAATCTGTCTTAATATAAAAAAGGTTGAGTTTACCAAGTATTTTAAGTAATCAATGTTACATTTCTAGCTGCTCAAACTTATAAAACTAGACTCAAATCCGAGCGATGATTCTGTGTTACATTATAGGTGGGAGAAACGATGAGACTGAGGTGGCCTTGTCAAGATTTTTTTACATTTCATGCTATACTCATTGATAATAACAAGCACTAGAATTTGGTTTAAGTATGGCCAAATTCGAGTATCAATGTATATAACAGGCTCATAGAAGAAACCGTCAACTTAGGCTCTGGCCACGTTTTTGAATCTATAAAAACATGACCAAGTTTCTTAGAAATCCTAGAGCACAACGATGGAGCACACTACAATGACATAGTGTTCTGCTTTCCTCTTAGAGCCATTGTTATCTCTGTTGGATTGCTAGCATGCCACAAGGTTGATGCTGGCAGCATACTTTATTTTGAGATTGCTTAGTATAAAGACCAAACAGTAGCAACCTGAAATCCTTGCTCCACTTGTTTTGGTTTCACATACAAGACTCTTTATGTTCTCTGTCACTTTTCTTTTCTTGAGTTCAATCTAGCAATGATAGTGATGGATTTCATAAGTCCAGTGTTGGAGATCATAATTCGCTTGTGGGACTGTTGTGCCTTCGTCCGTGACTATGAAGAGAACCTTTCTTGTTTGAGGGACGTGGCATCTGACCTCCAAGCCCTTTGGGTTGATGTGAGTGTGAAGGTCCAACTGGCTGAGGCACGGCACCAGAGACGTCTGAATGAAGTGAATGATTGGTTGGAGAAAGTTGAAGCCATGCAAAGAGAAGTTCAAGCTATTCAAGAGAAAGTTGCTCATGTTCAAGAAACACGTAGCAGATGTTCGGGAAATTTTCCAACAAGCTGCAGGATGGGAAGGATTGTAACTCGAAAAATAGGTGAGGTTGGTCAACTTATTGATAAAGGACATTTTGATGTAGTGGCTCAGGAAATGCCACATGCTTTGGTAGATGAAATCCCTCTAGAGGTCACAATAGGTCTAGAATCAACTTTTGATGAACTTGGTGCATGTTTTGATGATAATCATGTGGGAGTTATTGGCTTGTTTGGCATGGGGGGTGTAGGAAAGACAACCCTGCTCAAAAAGTTCAACAATGAGTTCCTTCCCACCAAATTTTATGATGTAGTTATTTGGGTTGTGGTGTCTAAAGAAGCAGATGTAGGGAGTGTTCAACAAAGCATAGGGAACAAATTAAATGTTCCTGTTGGTAAATGGGATGGTAAGACCATTGATGAGAGAGCTATTGTTTTATACAACTTTTTGAAAAGGAAGAAGTTTGTGTTACTGCTTGATGATTTATGGGAGCGTATAAATCTTCTGAAGTTGGGGATTCCTCTTCCTGATATGGAAAACGGATCTAAAGTGATATTCACTACAAGGTCCATGGAGGTTTGCAGGAACATGGAAGCCAACAGATGCATCAAAGTAGAATGTTTAGCACCAAAGGAAGCATTTGAATTGTTCAGAGAGAAAGTGGGTGAAGAAACTCTCAACTCTCATCCTGAAATATTTCATCTGGCTCAAATTGTGGCCAAGGAGTGTGAGGGACTTCCACTGGCTCTTATCACTGTTGGAAGATCTATGGCTCGAAAGACTCTCCCTGAATGGAAACGAGCAGCACGGACTTTAAAGATTTATCCATCAAGATTTTCAGGTATGGTTGACTATGTCTATTGTTTGCTTGAGTTTAGCTATGACAGTTTGCCAAGTGCTATACACAAGTCTTGTTTCTTGTACTGTTCCATCTTCCCTGAAGACTACGACATTAGAAAAGATGAACTCATTCAACTGTGGATTGGGCAAGGTCTTTTAGCTGAATTTGGTGATGATGTCTATGAAGCGCGTAACCAAGGAGAAGAAATCATAGCAAGCTTGAAGTTTGCTTGTTTGTTGGAGGACAGTGAGAGACAAAATAGGATTAAGATGCATGATGTGATCAGAGATATGGCTTTGTGGCTAGCTTGTGATCAAGGATCCAACACCAGGTTTTTGGTGAAAGACAGCAGTTCTATTGAAGCATATAATCCTGCAAAGTGGAAAGAAGTAGAGATAGTATCACTGTGGCGACATAGCATTCAAAACCTCTCAGGAAAACCAGATTGCTCAAGTCTATTGACTATGCTTGTTAGAAACACCGAGCTAACCAACTTTCCTGATGAGATCTTTCTGACTGCAAACCATCTTAGAGTGTTAGACATATCAGGTAATAAAAGAGTAAAAAAATTACCTTCAAGTATTGGGAAGTTAGTTAATTTGCAGCATTTGGATCTATCAGGTACTGATATACAGGAATTGCCAAGGGAGCTCCAGAACTTGAAAAAACTGAGGTGCCTGCTGCTAAATTATATTTGTAATAGGCTTGTCTTCCCAAGGAGTTTGATATCAAGTTTGTTGTCATTGCAAGTGTTTAGCAAATTACCATGGGAAGATCAATTTATTCTTCCCGACTTGGGGGAACCCGAGGAAACTGTCTTGTTGCAAGAACTGGAATGCTTGGAATGCCTTCAAGACGTAAGCATTGCTCTATTTTGCTTTTCTTCTATGCAAGTATTACTGAATTCTCCGAAATTGCAAAGATGCATTAGACATCTGAGAGTAATTTCTCCTTTCAATTCAATGCCACATGTTGTATTATTCTCATTATTGAGAAATATGCAGCATCTAGAGGTGTTGTCAATGTCAATTTCTTCATCTCCAAGGTTAGACCATGTCAGGAAAAAGGAGTCTCCATCACAGGGTTCTATGATTGAGTTCATTCCCATGAGTTCTAAACTTACTGAGCATGGTTACATCGTTGCCCTTCGGGAGTTATCTCTTGAAGGGTGTGGCATGTCCAACTTGAATTGGCTCACTCTTGCTCCAAGCCTTCAACTCCTTAAAATATACAATTGTTCCTACTTGGAAGAAGTCATAGGTGAAGAATTTGAACATGCAGAAAATGTTTTTTCAAGTCTTGAAATTGTTGATCTAGATTCTCTACCAAAATTAAGGAGCATATGCTCAAAAGTATTACAATTTCCTTGTCTTAAGGAGATCTGTGTAGCAGATTGTCCGCGGCTGATAAAACTCCCTTTTGATTCCAACAGTGCAAAGAACAGTCTGGAGCACATTAATGGACAGAAAAAGTGGTGGCGTAAACTGCAGTGGGAAGATGAAGCCACAAGGGATCACTTTGGTTCAAAATATGTGCCTTTACGTAAAATTCGCCAAATACATTGAGTCTTGTGTGATTGATCACCAACTGAATTTCACTTCGTATCTTGAACTTAATAACTTCATGCACTCTCTGAAATGCTTGGTTTGATTGTACTTGTTGTTTGTGAAAGAGATATTGTGGAATAGATAAATTATTATTTTTCAAGTTGTGTGTATCTTCTTGTCATCAATCTTTATGTGTGGTGGTGGATCTCTGTGAGGATTCTTATGTAGAAGTTAGCGTAGTTTTGTTGAAAGAAGTTAGTTAACAACAGTGTAAGTAGTGCAAATATAATATTAGAGTATGAGAGATAAAGGGAATAGCATTTAGGGAGAGATTATGAGGAATGTTCTATGGACAATTTCACATTAATGTACAAGTTAAACAGTATATTAGTAGGAAGGAATTAAGAATCAACATACTTGCAGCATTCCATGATTAAGAGATTGTAGCTAATACAGTAAGTTAAACAATATATTAATATTATGTAGCAATAGATCTTTTCTATGTTAATGATGTTGTGAAAGTGATTGCTACTCTTAATCTCAATCTATTCGTCCAAGTTTTGGAAACGATACCACCCATTTGTGTTGATCGAAAAGCTTCAGAATGAAGACCTTGTTCAGGTCTTACACAATTACATTGGTCCTTTGATATAAGAATCATACTAATATATTTTTTAACACATTCTATATCATTGATCAGAGTTTATCGATGAATGAAATTTTTTAAATAAATAATGAGTCTTATAAAATATATTTTTAAAATAAGTATTTTGGAAATAAATAATTTTAATTGGTTAGTTTGTTTAAGCTTAAACTAAATATTTTTTTAAAGAAGTAAATTTTAAATAATTTCTTATTTAGGAAATAGATAAGATTTACTATTAAAATAAGTGAGAAAAATAGTTATTTTGAAATAAATACATTAAACAAATAAAAAATAGGAATCTATTATTTATTTTATTAAATAAACACTTATTTGAAAAAATAAACAAACAAACCCATCCATAATCCCCTGAAATGATGTTCTCACGGAAGCCCAGCCCAAAATAATCCCCAACGACGTCGTTTTTTAAACCAATGAAGCACATTTCATTGTTTTCGTTTCTCCTACGTTCTTCTTCATAGCGCAGCTTCCCCCAGGACCCTGAAATGGGTTATCTGAGCAAAGCTTCCAGAACCCTAAGGCAATCGAATTACTTATCGTTGTTATGTAGTCTCAATTTCAACCCCTTAACCAACAGAATAACCCATGGACGCTTTTCTGTGACCCGTGAACTGTTCTGTCCACAGTCACGCCAATACAGCACCACCACTAGAGATAAAAGCGCCATAGATTTGAGTCAATACCCTCCAGAGCTCGTTAGAAACTTCTCAATCATTGCGCATGTGGATCATGGCAAGTCCACCCTCGCTGATCGGCTGCTAGAACTCACTGGAACCATTAAGAAAGGCCATGGCCAGCCCCAGTATCTTGATAAATTGCAGGTACTTTTTGTTGTTGGAAATTTTCAATTTTTCATCTGGGTATGCTTTGTTGCAATGTTAGGTTAAATGAGTATGGTTCAAAATTGGAAATTTTTTGGTTTAAGTATATGAGGTAGAATGAGACAATGGGTTGGTTGAAAAAAATGGAAAATTTCACTGACAATATAAAATGCCATTACTCACACTACCGTGAATAAACTACCTTAAAAACTCACGGCCTTCTTGGTTGAAAAATTATAAAAGTTTACACTGAGAGTGCATGTTGATGAAACGAAAATAGATTTTAATTTAAATACACTATTATTTTAAATAAAATGTTTTTTGCAGCCTCATTACATAGTTGATTTCTTATTATGGAGACACTGTTAATAATTACTCTGAAAGTTATAAATATGTTGATGTCTGATTGGTTGATAATGTAAAACATTTTATACTAAACAATTTATGAAAATTAAAATTGCAGTGGAATGTATTGTGTTTCTTATTTTTTGCCATGTGTGTTTTGTTAGTGAAGTTTAATATGTCTTAGGTGGAGAGAGAAAGAGGAATCACGGTTAAAGCCCAGACAGCAACAATGTTCTATAAGCACAGTGTTAATGGTGATGATTGCAGTGATGGAAAGGAGTCACCTAATTTTTTGCTGAATCTTATTGACACTCCTGGACATGTTGATTTTAGTTATGAAGTGTCAAGGTCACTGGCAGCTTGTCAGGGTGTGCTTTTGGTTGTTGATGCTGCTCAGGGAGTTCAAGCTCAAACTGTTGCTAACTTTTACCTTGCCTTTGAGTCTAACCTAATGATTGTGCCTGTTATAAACAAGATTGACCAGCCAACTGCTGATCCTGATCGTGTTAAAGCCCAATTGAAATCAATGTTTGATCTTGACCCAAGTGATGCTCTGCTAACATCTGCTAAAACTGGAGAGGGTCTTGAGCAAATCCTTCCGGCAGTCATAAAGCGCATACCTGCCCCTCCTGGGAGGAGTGAATCTCCTCTTCGCATGCTTTTACTTGATTCATATTATGATGAATACAAAGGGGTAATATGTCATGTCGCCGTTGTTGATGGTATCCTGCGCAAGGGGGATAAGATTTCGTCTGCAGCTACTGGTCAGTCATATGAAGCTTTAGATATAGGCATCATGCATCCTGAACTTACACCTACTGGAATCTTGCTTACTGGACAAGTTGGTTATGTTGTAAGCGGCATGCGATCTACTAAAGAGGCCCGTGTTGGTGATACAATTTACCATACTCGGACTGCCGTAGAGCCTCTTCCAGGTATAGTCAGACAACTTTGATGCTATTCATACTGCTCTTTGCTGCATATAATATTTTAATTCATGTATACTGCATTCACACTTGCTGCACTTGTAAGTTGTAGATACTTCATGGGCTTGCTGAAAATAGAATGAGTTCACTTCTTTGTTTGACCATTATTAATTTTCCTGTAAAAAGTAATGCCTAAATGATCAAGCTTATGTGATATTGTATTTTGTTCTTTCTTTCTCCATGTGTATGAGAATTTTATTGTTTTACTTTTAGTGTAATGGTTACATTTCTTGGTAAGTTATCTTGTTTTTGAGTTATTTGATAATTTAAACTGTAGGCTTCAAGCCAGCAAAACATATGGTGTTCTCTGGTCTCTATCCAGCTGATGGATCTGATTTTGAAGCTCTAAATCATGCAATAGAGAGGTTGACATGCAATGATGCTAGTGTCTCAGTTACTAAAGAAACTAGCACTGCTCTAGGCCTGGGATTCAGGTCTGGTACCTACTACCAAAAGAAAGAAATGAGAATTTGGTTCTGTGAAAAATTGAAACATTTAGTTTCATCTGGAATAATTTATGTTTCTAATTATGTTCGCACAGGTGTGGGTTTTTAGGCCTTCTGCACATGGATGTTTTTCATCAACGGCTTGAACAGGTAATGCATCACTGTATGGTAACCAGATGAGGACTTTAAACTGACGGTGAAGATATACTTTTGGAAAATGAAATGCCTTCCAATTTCTGAATCATATTATGCATGCTTCAGAGGCATCGGGAAGTGAATATCATTTTTTCCTATCTTCAAGCATGGTGCATTGTTGATCAATATTATGTTTTTGTAAACAGGAGTACGGAGCTCATGTTATCTCAACTGTTCCTACTGTGCCTTATATATTTGAGTTTTCTGATGGAAGGTAGATAACAAACCTGTATTTTCTCGCTAAGTCCAATATGTTTTACTAAGATTTTAGCTGTGGTTTTCAGCAAGTTAGAAGTTCAGAATCCTGCTTCATTACCATCTAATCCCAAGCAAAAAGTGACAGCCTGTTGGGAACCTACAGTAATAGCTACTATAATCATTCCTAGTGAGTAAGCTCTTTACAACCCTGGGTATAATTTGTTTACTGCTCCAGAGCCTGATGTTCGCTAGCTTAATTTATTGGTGATTTAAGGTATGTGGGAGCTGTTATTACCCTTGTCTCTGAGCGTAGGGGTCAGCAGTTGGAATACTCATTCATTGACAGGTAGAATTTTGTGAGAGTTTCATGCCATCACTATATCCAATTATCCATCAATGAATATATATGAAAAGTGTGGTGATTTATTGGGATATTATGCTCATTATGCATGATTATCCACAAAAATTGACATAAATTTTGATATATTTTTGTGTTGGTCCATCAATTTATCCCTTGGCGGAAGCAATAAATTAAGTTTCTCTTCTGCAGTCAACGGGCATTCATGAAGTACCGCCTGCCTCTGAGGGAAATTGTTGTTGACTTTTATAATGAATTGAAGAGTATAACATCAGGCTATGCATCATTTGATTATGAGGACTCAGAGTACGTATCATGCTCCCTTTTTCTCACCCTATAATTTTCTGCATGATTATTGTTCTGCACCCTCTCGTAACTGCTTTGGTACATCTGTGCTATGTAGTGTTTGGAACAATTATCTGGTACATGTAAACGTACAGGTACATGTAAACATAGATTTGTACCAAAGTGTTGTGATACCTGATGGATATACTGGACTATGCGCATACTCATATAATTTGTTTTATAAATATTTTGTGGTTTATAATGCATTCAATGGGTGTAATTACAGTTATCAACAAGCTGATCTGGTAAAACTCGATATTCTCTTGAATGGACAACCAGTTGATGCGATGGCAACCATAGTTCATAGCACGAAAGCCTATCGTGTTGGACGTGAACTGACAGAGAAATTGAAGACTGTCATAGACAGGTCTTTTTCTGTAATAAATAATAATTTTATTATTCTCATGCTGCTTCTTTAATTTGAAATCACCCAAAAAAAACTCTAAATTTTGATCAGGCAAATGTTCGAGATAACCATACAAGCTGCCATTGGCTCAAAAGTCATAGCAAGGGAAACGTAAGCTTCTTTTTAAAGTATTTTCTGATGTATTTTTTTGGGGTGGTTGGTTGAAAACCTTTAGCTTCTGATATGAAAAAAATAATCTTGATTAGTATTTTTAAATATCTGTCATTTATTTCCAATAGCCATTTTTGTAGGTG